GAGAGAGAGAGAGAGAGAGAGAGAGAGAGAGAGAGAGAGAGAGAGAGAGAGAGAGAGAGAGAGAGAGTTTCGCTGTGTGACGTTGCATCTCATCATATTGATGATCTCTGAATTGCCGACGGCTCACTCTCAGGCATGTATTAGTGTGTATCGGAGCAAGGAAATAGCATTAGGAGGTTTAATGGCCATCATAAAATTTTGTTTGTGCACATAATTCCAATCTAATACCACTGACATAAACACTAGTCTGTTGGGCAAAAGAATGAGGTAAACATTGCATCAAACAAATCACACATGCATAAAGAGTGACCTCTCTATTTCCAATACAAATTTCTGCACTGATTGTGATGTTGAAAAACTGCCAGGCATCTGAACATTAGCTGGCAAAATCGTTCAGAGGCCTCTAAAACACAACTGATAGATTAGTGCAGTATGACAACAACAGCACAGCTTGTCGTGTGATTTGTTCCATCGAGAGGCTTGGATGCTTGCTGGACGGATGGTAAGGCACACACGGTATCCAAATTATGGAAAATAGCATCTTGAAAAACACATCTACCTGGTACAATTTGTGCCAGTAAATTATGATCTGCAAGATGTAAGGCTCTTACACATGGCAGGATTTTAAGCACCAAGCTTTTGACAGGCTGTAAGATGCCATTGGCCACATGGCAGTTGCAACAACCTTGAACTGAACATAGCTCATTGCAAAATATTTGTTCATTCCGAGACATACATGCCACAGACCGCATGGCAGTGCCAGCATGCCTGAACATAGCTCATTCCAGAATATTTGTTCATTCCAACACATCCTGCTGTAAGTGTGACAGCGGCTAGACTGAGGTCTCAAGGAGGCATTCGTGTGGGAAGAGGAATGTGAAACATGGCATCACATTTGGAGAAGCAATCGAGGGTAGCCATGGAAACGCTCACCTTTCGACCTCCATAGATCCCTGGTGGGTTTTGTGTTGCAAACAACATGAAGTGAGGGTGAGGTTTTATGGTCATCTGCATTTCACAAGGGCAAGCCACAAATGACACCATCTCGTATGAATTAGGACACGTCTGTTGACTGGGAAAAATAAATTATTGTGCATTACTTAACACCTGGGTTTATCCATAAAGCGTTGTCACTACTCATTGATCATGTGGGCGAGCATTGAACATGTAGCCTTCTCAAATGAGACATATAAAATTCATATTCCAAAGATTGGGGGAATACACATTCGATACAGAACTTTTCTCCCATCCAGATTGAAAAGTAGAGCAATCACCATGCTGTTAACAAAGGCCTGACTGTCCTAACCACGCTGTTGTATAAACACCGCCCCTGCTTCGATGGCTGAGAAACAGCATATACAGACAGAAGGTCCATTCGACATCAGGAGCTCCCCCCGCTGAAGCGCTCCAGCCACCACGCCTCACATGGTCCAAAACTTGGTGTCTGGGAATCCCACCCACAACAAAAGTCCTCCACAGAGATCCACAAAAACTCGCAACCAAATGCATATGATAGCCACCTCCCCACACCTCCCCTCTGCCCCCCATGACCCCGTAGGCCAAAAACTCTTCAGTTTTGGTGCTCCATGGCCGGAAAAAACAATAGGTTAGACAAAGTATGTTCAGGAATTGTGGCACCTTAAAGGAAAAGCTTCTGAAAAGGTCTTTGATTTTGGGGTGTCAATTCCCTTTTGGTGGCGCAAAGATATTGGAGCAGCAAGTTAGTCATTGACGCATATGCCTTCTGACCTTTCTGGCACCCCTGCATTCGTAAATGCAGCAATCAAGCTCACATAGATACTCATGCATAGATCAGGAGGCCGGCTTGCAGATCAAGGAGATGGTGCCAAGTTTGCGAAAGAAGCAGCCTCAAGTGTAGAATAATTCACAATGAGCAGGGCAGTCGGTCGTATTTCTCCGCAGGATGGAACATCTCTCCACAGATTATGTAACATCTGAAGGATTATGTGTTAGGGAACTTCCATGTTCATCTGTGTTTACAAAGAGAGAGCACAGCCCTTCACCTGATTATGGGTGATTGAAAGGCTTTGACATCATGCCTCATAAATCGAGAACATAGTGACCGACTGTTTCGTCGGAATTCCACCGACTCATCAGGAGGTTGAACCTCGACAGCCCCGCAGGCACACTTACTTACAGTGAGCACATACTGCCTCATCAGAGCAGTGCCCAGAGAGCAGTGTGTGCACATGCCCTCCTCCCTTTACTCATTGCTTGCCTGAGGCAATAAGCCCAGAGGACCCACCTAGGAATTGATGTAGCCCAGAAATGGACTACAATTTCGATTTCAGCATCCTCTGCATGGAACCATTGATTCAGACTTTGACACTAAACTACTGAGAATGCTTCATCTTGCTGAGCCGAACTCGCAGACAAAATCCATCCCCACCTCTTCAACATCACGTGGAGACTCAGCAACAACACAGCCCTGGTACCTTTCTCCTCTGCCTTTCACAACCATAATGGTCCTGCAATCTTGAACCCCTCGCTGTACCATTCTATCTTCTCCTGCCATCCCTCCACTCATGCCTCCTCCCTCAGTTACTCCTCCATTCCTCCCATCTCATGCGCCTCCGTCTCCTTCCCCCTCACCATGCAACTTGCCATCTGAACGTCATCAAGCAAAACAACAGACCTATGCCTTGTCTCTCCTGATTTCCATTATCTTTCATGTCTTCTGTACTTCTATCAATCTACAGCTACTTTACAGTCCAAAGTGGGTTCGGTATAACAATGTCCCAAAAGACAGCAGAGAACTAATGGCCCGGTTGCCTCACAGCGCGGGTCAACAATGTTTTCAAGTTGCTGTCTGGGATGCGAAATCCATGCTGCGCCCTTGGGCTACACCAGACTGCGCGGCCCAAGAAAAATCAGGCCTCGCATTAATCGCAGCCAAAAACAATTTGGGCTTGGGCTGCATGAAATCTCACAGCGCGAGGATGCATGGAGCACAATGGAACAGGCGCCAGGTGGTGCTATGCAGGGAGAGGGAAGGTGCCTCCTCTCTCCGGTGATATGCCAAGAGAGACTTGTCATACAGAACATACGCGGAAAGGGGGAAAAGGACAAGAAACAGGGTATTGTGACTGACTGTTTGGTTGGAGTTTTGCCGACTTGTCAGCAGGCTAAACCCTCTATAGTCTGCAGAGCCCCCTAACCGACGGTACTAATGATAATCTACCATAACCCCGTTTGTGGTTGAGCATGAACGGCTGCCCAACAACCAATACCCAGAGGCAAGCACCGACCACCACCCTCAATAGTAACTGTGATGAGAATCAAAGCAAACTATCACTCACCCATACCACAGACTGCAGCTTCACACCCCATCACAAAGTCAGGCATATACATATACATCCCCATAGAGAACAGCCCAGTGAAACCGCACACAGAGAGGAAGAAGAGGACAACAAAGAAGGGGCTGTGACGGACTGTTTGGTCAGAGTTTCACCAACTCATCAGAGTATATACATACTCATAAGCTAAAAGACTTCACTTCGCAAAACAAACGAAGAAACCAGAATGACAGCATAAGTTCTTTTCACCTCTGTAATGCAGTTCTCTCGTGTCATTCTCTCATTTGGTTCCTCTTCTATTTCCTCTTTCATCTCTTCCTTACCGTGCCTCTTAAGTACAAGGCTTACCAAATTGGAATAGTTGACCGTGAGATGCCCAGTCCCTCTATGGCCAATCTGTATGCTATAAAAATGAGGCTGAGTAAAGGGAGAGGAGAGACAGAGAGAAAGTAATGGAGATAGAGAGAGAGGACTTGCCGAAGGTGGTTACGTGCTACACGATGGGAGACACGAA